TATGCACCATCATCAAATGACACCTGTTCATACTAAACGTCCTGTGTTGTTATACTGTAACTCCATGTTACATCCTTGTCCATGAGAAGTGGTTTTAAGCGGTTTTGTTGTGGCAAACCTTCAGGTATCATTAAATTCATCCTTTCTCGAAAGGATGAAGCGGACGTGCTTTAGATCTAAGCAGTTAGATTACTGAAAGATTATGTGTACAAAGAACAATGCAGTTACTAAATTAAGATATAGTTTAGCAAAAGCAATGAGGGAAATCAAATAGGAGACTAACACGATCCCTGAGAATAATTTGTTTGACAGGAAAGGGAACTGTAAGTCTTTTTTTCAATGCTGCTGTTGTCACCTGAGTTTGATTCTCTGTCAGTGATTTTTAGTTTGTAGAAAGTTAAATGTTTTCTGTTTTGTTTTTTTCCTTTTGTCTGTCACTTGAAACCATTGAGCTAATTTGCCTTATTTTGATGAATTTATCTTTGAAGTAGATTTGATTTTAGCTGTAGAGTTTAGCTTTTTATAGATAGAGAGTAGATGTTAGTTTTGTTTCTCTGCGTAGGGATTGATGCTGTTTATCTTGTGCACATCAAGTTTTCTCTTGTTTCGTTTCCACACAAACCTCCGTTCCAAACCTTGTGTCTTCTGTCCTAATGTTGGGCCTGTTTGTAGAAAAAAAAAGCCTTTCAGAGCGGAGAGCTGAACCAAACAATGACTTTATTTAGTGCTGACCCAAAAGATTCATATTGAAGCTGCATCGGAGTTGCGGCTCAAAGAGGCTTCACATGTGCAAGCCCCGGGTATGTTTCAGTCTTTCAGCCAGCACAGGGAGTGGAGCTCATGTCACCACGTATAGTACATCCAAAATATGTTGAACTTTAATTTATACAGACATCAAAAACTGTAGATATGTAGATAATAGAAATCATGGTTTTACAAGGACTGCTCACTAGACCATGGAAGTGCCATTAAAGACGATTCTTACAGCCTTTAGTGAGACAGCAAGTCTGAATGAATTTGTGAGTGATCCAAAATTCTGCAAAAACTATTTTTAGCTAAGCCTTAATGTTTTTTTTTTGTCTGGCTGAACTGCCTGATCTCTCATAGGATTGACATTAACACTAGGTTCACACTGCCAACCTGAGCAGCGTGTGATGGCTGCATTTGGCACGCGTGCAGTGTTTACACCGACAGCGTGTCAGCTGCGTGTCTGCTGCTGAGCTGCTGCTGCCAGCCCTATCTTTCTATACTGAGTTTGCCTTTGATAAATACCATACCAATAAAAGCTAAAAGGTTAACATGTGAATGGATTCTGTCCACAGAAACACCAGAGGGCTTTTAATCTGAAACAGATATAGGAGTTTAAAAAATACATTCAAATTTTATTCCATGTCTGTGACATATTCTACACATATAGACATTGAAACTGTAGTGAAAGTTATATGCTGCTGGTATACTGTCGATATGTCTATGAACACTGTTTATTTTTGCTGGGAACTGTTTGTGGCTCGTAGAAAAAATAGGCGAGACCTCGACTCTCTAGTGAAGGCTTGCTGCAGCCGCCAGCAGTGTGACTGCTCTAATCTGTTAACAGGACACCGAAAGAACAGTATCCCACACACACGCTGCTCAGGTCGACAGTGTGAACAAGCCGTAATTTGTATATACTACAGAAAAATGGCACCAGGCTTGTTTAAATGCCATTGATTGAGTCGTCATGTCAGTCTAGTTAGCTGTAGGCTTTCTGAGGAGCTTTCCTTCCTGCTTCTCAACCATTGTTGTTTGAATCCAGTGGAAAAACGCAGCTTGATAACGTCTTTCTCGAGGCTCGCAGTTTGATGATTCTTCTTTTTTTCACACGTCAACTTTTTGTTGTGTGTTTCTGTTGTTCATTTCCGCAACCAAAGATGTTGTAGCCACCCATCTTTTAGCTCTCTGTCACAGACAAACTGCTCTCATCTTCAGACGATCATCTGCTGTGTGCAGCTGGATAAAATAGATAGACGCAGAAAGAGAAAGATCGCAATAAAGGGTGGTAACATGCACACAATATTCCACATTATGACTTATGGTTTTGTGGGAACTTCTTGGCACTACTGTATCCATCATATAGTAAAGTACACATATCAAAACATTTGGGCTGATTTTTAAAATGAACAACTCAAGAAATCTGGTTTTGATTACATGTGTAAACTCTTCAGTGCATGTAAACAGAGTCATTATAAACTTCATTGGCCTCTGCAGACACCCAGGAGGAATACAGAGCTTTTACGATGGTGAGAGTTTTCAGACACGAGAGCTAATTTTGTAAATAGTCTTTTTTTTCCTTCCACTTTCTCTTTACACAATTTTGTTTGTTTCTTCTTGTGTGTTTTTTTTTAATGATTTATAACCTGGTCAGATAACACAGTGACTAGCAAGGTTTAAGATTCAGTGCACCATGAAGGAAAATGTCATGGATATTGTTTATATGTTCAAAGAAATGATATTCCATGTATTAGCCATCACTTTTAATACAAAAACAGGATTTTGGAACTATGAAATGACCACTTGTTACAATGCAGTGTTTATTTATTTTGTTTTATTTTTACAAACTTTTCAGCAGAGATAATATTACAGGAAATTACAAGCCTGAAAAATTAATTAGCATCATGAAAATTATAGAACCTTAATTTAAATTATAGGAATACAAAGATCAATTGTGTGCTCTAAAGACAGTACAAAATATTTGAAAGAAAGAAAAATCTCCTTGCACTTATTTCTAGTCAACACCAATTTGAAATGCTCGTTTTGTCCATCCTTAATGTAGATTTGATGGCTTATTTCATAGCTTCAAAATGTTTTGCTGCTAAAACAGGATTTCCAAACAGGGGGTTAGATGTTGCCCAGTCTGGATTTTTAAAATGTGCCTTTTTATTTTAATTTGGTTAATACAGAGTAACCTTCTTCATGATACTAAAATAAAGAAATGAGTTTGCTATTATTTTGCTTATGGGCAGTTTAAATAGTTGTATTTTACATTAATAAAGAAATGACAATGTTGTCTTAAGGTGACTTTTTTGAACACGAAATAATAAAAACATGCCCTGTTGCACACTGTATGAACCAAGTTTGTGTGAATCCCACTTTTTGAAAATCTGACGGGCTCATCTCACTCTCTGCTTGTGAACAGTTTTCTTATTTATACAAGAACTCATTTTGTACAGTTTTGTTAGAGGAAAGAGGTTTTGATATTTGGTTATTTTGCAAAGCCACTTGGCTACTTTTGTCTTCCTGTGCCAGAGTTGCTAAATTGTCTGTAACTTGTGTTTTTTTTATTGATTGAAATAAGATTTTCCTTCTTTCTTGGTTTTTCTCTTTGAATTTGAATATGTCAATTTTTCTTTTTTTAATAAAAGCCTTGTTTCAATGATTGGGTGAACTGTGTTATTGAACTATTATAGTTCATTACTGATGCTAACCCAGATGGGTCATTACCTACTGCTGTTGTTGCTTCAGCTGACTTATCACCTTGTCTGACTCCAATTTATAAATCCACTTGTTCTGTTTAGGGCTGTGGGAAACTCAAGTCGGAGCTTGTAGCTTCCTGATTCAAAATCCTGAAAAATCCTTGATTGCATCTCCAGGTTTCATAGGTAAAACAAATCTCTATTTTTTATTTATAGTCAATATTCTCCTAAAATGTAGGTTGAGTCGTCATTTATCTTCACCTGTCCTATCAAATAAAGGCATAAAAGCCCCAAAAATAAACTTACATGAGCACTACTATGAATATGAGTGCTCAAACTGAATGTCAGTCAAAGATAAGGCAGTAAAGGAGTGTGTCTTATTAATATTTACCTTGATAAAGTATGAGGTCTGTATCAACAAAAAGTAAACTAATAAAATGTATATATAAGCTCATGTAATATGGGAGGACAACACAGGGAGAATAAACTCCACAGAGATTCAGGACATGTAAGGTGACAATGTTAACTGAGTTTTTGCCTTCTTATCTTAACATAAAGTTCAAATGTCTTAATAATTCTAGTAATCGTTTACCATTTTGTCCATGTGTCCGTTTTATTTGAAATATGTCACAATCAAATGGATACCGCTCATTGTCTTTAGAAAAAATATATTAACATGTCACATATTTTACTCACTATACAGTTGAACGTTTCAGATAATAACAATTTTCTATCACATCCCAAAGGCCACATTAAAGTTGCAATACAAATTGCAACTGATCTCTAATAACTAAAGTATGTTGTTAAAGTACCTATCTTTTCCCTTTATGGTTGGTGTTGTGTCTTAGTTTCAAAAGCATTTTTTTCATTTTTCATTCGTTCAGACCCTTATCCATGCTCAAATTGAGCCTTTAGTATGGAAATATGTTACACACATACAGTAAAACATTAAACTTGTCATCTATGATAATGTGCATAAAAAACAAGTATAAAACCAAACTGTATCTACTGTACATAGCTTGTGAAACAGTTAGTTATTAAAGTAAACTCTTGCAGATTTCCTGAATTATCCCTTTTTGGCTCATTGATGGATACGATGAACACATTAATACAGTCAAGGATAATGATCATACTCAACCTTTCTGCTGTGTTATCCACTTACAAGCCTAATAACTGTTTAAACACATACTGTAGGATGGTGGGATCACAGCAGGCCCCAAGTACAATACAAAAACAGACTGACAGGAATGGCCAGAGTACAGTGAACAACTACAGTAACACAGTACAGCATCAGGCAGGCATAGTGACAAAACCAGCTGCAGGATTGTAAGATTACATAACCAAAAGCAAAGAACAGATTGCTCTCACTTACACTGATGCATGTACAAACAAAATGGAAAACAAAACTAGTGATTCATCAAAAACCATATATAGCCCTGATGTCATCTTGTTCATGAGGGTAATAAATCCAAGTTGGTTGTTGGCTTTGTTGAGAGTTCAAATAGTGCAGCTGAGAGACCGATGTACTGTATTTTGGGGAAAAGTGGAGCTTTACTCGCGGCCTCCTCCCAGGATCTGGAGCAGGAAGCTGAACAGGTAGATAATGTCCAGGTAGAGGCTGAGGGTGGCAAAAACATATTCCTCTGGACTTATACTGTAGCGCTTGTTCCCTAACAGCAACTGAGTGTCAAATGCCAGGAACTATGTCAGAAAGAGAAGAGGGAGAAAACAAAAACAGTAAATGAGTAAGAAAACCTTCAACTGGACAATATTGAGGTTTTAAAGAATGATCTGATTCTCACCAGAGTAAAGAGGATGGCTCCTGCCACAGCATAGAGGGCATGTAACCAGGGAACCTGTAATACGAAGGCATTACAAAACACTGTTTAGGATAGCAGGATGCTAATTGAAGAAAGACAGCAGACAGCTTTGCTAGATTATCTGTGAGGCTAATCCCTTCTCACACACCCAAATTCAGCCGGCAGCACTTGAGGCATTAACCTGCAGCTGTGGTTTGACTCATCGACTATATTAGACTTCTTCTAGAAAGGTGTGTGCACGCTGAACGGGTGGAAGAGGTGAACTTACATAGCCGAAAGGGACGACAATGGACATGGTGATGGCACAGAGGAGCATGACCATGCACAAAGAAAACAAGACACCCTGATAGGATGTGACGTCAATCTGCAACAACAACAAAACAAAAAAAATCAATGATGGATTTATTTCATGTGAACAAAATCTGTCTTCTTGGTTGAATTAGTTCTTCTCACCTTGCTCTGGAAGCTGAAGATGGTGACAGAGAGACACACCAGAGCTGTGATTCCCAGACACAGGACCACTGATTTGGTGTTATAAAAGCTGGAGGAAAGAGAAGGCAGTCATTAAAGAAGCTTTTACTCTGGAAAGGTTTGGATGAGTTTAAAATCAGTATGTCACAATATCTGTTTACCTGGCCACAAATCCCATCATGAAGGCCATGCTCAAGGTCTGAGGAGAACAGAAAAGAAATATTACCCCAGTTATGCTTTATGTGTGAAGAGCATATTGTATTCAGCGGTAATGTGCTGTTTTTATGGTGAGAAATACTCACAAAGAGAACTAACAAAATGATATTCCAAGGAAACTGCCTCCTGTTTAGGTGAAAGAGAAAAAAATCCACTTCATCAACAAATGTATATCTACACAGCATTGTGTTAGGCTTGAATGGATATTTGTATTGTTATTTATGTGGTAAAGAAACATTACCTCAGGTCTCCACAGCAGGACAAAGCAATGTAGGTGACAAAGAACATGAGACTGTCAAAAAAAAGGGGAAAATTTTGATTAAAAACTACAATTAAAGTTACAGAAAAAACACTTTGATGTAATGTGATATGATGACGTGTTTCCACTTACTAAGATGCCATGTACAAGCCAGGATGAGTCTGAATATAATACCTCACAGGCGCACTGTAGAGACAAAAATTAAATGGATTTATTCTCTGTTTTAATCACAGTGGTAAGAACAAAAACATTATGTGTAAATAATAATACAGATGACCACAAGAGTAGTTACCAAAATGAGAAGAGAGCAACAATGGACACTGTCACAAGCAGCTGAACCATGAGAATGGCGTAGACCTGCAGGAAGACATACACTGTGTCAGAGCAATGGTTTCACTGTGTTTTTGTTATGGATATGGTGACTTTTCTCCTGTGACTCATTCGTACCTTCCTGATGAAGGTCCGCCTGATGGTTTTGTCGTCCCAGGCAAACTGGGCCTCCATCTCCTCAAAGCCTGAAAGAAAGAGGAGACACAAGGATTCAACTTAGTAGAAAGAATCATTCAGACAAATGAAGTCTTCATGCAGGAGGTAGATTTGACTGGTACTAACATGATTTATAATAATTACTTTTCAACATTTATGTGATTTCAAGTCATAACTTTTAAACCTGAACGAAGTGCAACATCATTACAATTTATAATTAAGTTTACAGATTGCAAAGAAACAGATGGAAAACAAAGAGATTCCTTTTTACCTGCAGTCGCCTCCTGATAAGTGGGGGGCTCATTGTCATCATTCACCTGCTGGGATTGAATTATGGGTCAGCAATTTTTAATAATAATAATAACATAAAATGAATAATAGAATAAAATGAAAAACTGTCTTTATATTCCCCATGCGTTTTATCGTGTTTACTCTCACACACATGAACCAGTACAGCACTAATTTTCCTTTCACCTATTGTTTAGCTGTGCATTGCATACGGCACATTATATTTTACTGCTGACAATTGTCTGTCACAGATTTGTCCTACAAAACAGCCTCCATGTTTGATCAGTTCAAAGGATTAGGATGGATGTGATGGGCCTCAATCTTTTTGTAACCAGCATAAAAAAAGTATAGAGAAACCAGTGTTCATGAAATGAGCTCTTGACACACACATAATAAAAAGAAATCATAAATCTTTTTAATCATGTCATTATTTGGTTGATTATTTTTTAATCTTGGCTGTGATGTTGCCATTAAAAGAGATCAGAAACAGAAGCTCCATATCTCTACAATCCTACCTCAAAGCCATAATTTCTGCCGCTCTATCTCATTTTAGGTCCTTTGTTGAGGATAATAAGTATATATTACATTAAACAAACACGCTCAAGAAATTACATTGAAATGTCATAGATCTAAATTATATAATATGACATATATGTCACTACACATTGTATTACAGAGCTGTAGCTCCACTACAAGGTAGGAAAGTTAAAAACATACCTTTCCCTTTTTCATGATGTTTCCCTTTTTGCACCTTTGTGTTGCTGATGATGAGGAAGGCTATTCTGACTTCACACGTAAAATAATTTGCTTGTAGGTTGTCTTTCCAACTCAAAATATGAAATATCTCAGCTCCCTTTTCTTTTAATTAGGTCTGTGGTCCAAAACAAAGCGAATTGCGAGCAAAAATGTTGCTTGTAGAATAGTTGTTGCTCTGAATTTGTCTCCAGTGTGCGGATTACACTGAAGCTTTATAGGCCTCCATGTGGTTAATCTCTCTCTAACCCTGATCCCACGCCACCCCTGTCCTCGGCCTAGTGATGTTGTTCCAGCACAGTCCAGGTATTGCCAAAGCACTGAGATGAAGACAGAATGTACCACTGTTGTTGCTTAACAGGGGTGTCGTTTATGTCTCTCTTTGTTGGCACAAACCGTCTCAACTGTGTTCCAGGACAGTTAATCATCCTACTGCTCACCAGAAAGACTCAAAGGACTTATATATCTGAATTACATACATTACATAACTACTTTGCTCTACTTTAGAGGACAGACACAGAGGATATTTGATCATCAACATGTATATTTTATAAGTACATGTAATAAATCACAACCAACAATTACTGCACATGTGAATATACACAAGTCATATATTATTATTATTATTATTATTATTATTAAGAGAGCTTAAGATGTATGATTATCAAACTTTTTGCTTTTCTTAATGTAGAGTTTGTCATCAAATATATGTATGTGATTAAATGGAACAATTAAACGAAGCTACAGGAGACAGTGTATTTGTATTTGTACTATTTATTTGTGCCATACAATTTAATTATCGTCTTCTTTTTTTAGCAACACAACAGTAGACTTTTCTAGTGAACTATGACATCATGGTTTTGTGTAAGCGACTGGTTTAGTAACCGGCACACCAGACTAATGAGATTGAAGTTAAGTACATTATTAAGCACACACATACATTTAAAAACAGTAATAATGAGATTTACCAGCAACCACCCACCTTGGACATACTAAGACAATTAGAAACATGCCAACATGATACAGGCTCTAAAAATAGCGAATTCTGTCTCTATATTAATTGATTGATCTCTATATTAATTATAAAATAAGGACAAGGAAAACCACTTCACATTTCCTTCTTTCTTTCCATTAGCAACTGGTGAAAATGAATGTAAAAGTCTATATGGCAATAAAGTGCTGCTACATAGGCTGTTACATCCATGATGACATAATGCTACTATATTTACCAGGACGTATATATATATATAAATATATATCTTTTTTGTAGCAATAAAATGTTTTTAACCAAGCCAGTGTTTCCACTCATTCATTCATTCATTCAGTAAATTTCAGAAGAACTAAACAAAGACTATTCCTAGCTGTATGCCAGCTCCTCATCTACACTGAGTCTCTGGTTAGAGAGATGGACACAGAAGCAAAGGTCTGGTTCCACTCAAACATTACTGATGCTCAACATTAGACACAGTGAAACACGTCTGAAATTATACAGATAAACAAAGTGAGTCAATAAATTTTATTTTTTTTGCGAGACGCTCAAGACAGGCGTGTATGTAGGTTTACATCAACCGAGTTACTTAAAATATTAAAAATAATAATAATAATTCCATGTCATAATATTTATAATAATCATAATGTTGTATACAAGCAACAGCGCCTAAATATTACCACGTTTTGCTGTAATTTTGTCATAATCTCTTGTATATATGTCTATGGTCAAACTGGTACTAATGTCCACAGAACCCCTTAAGAACAACTTCAAAACCTTACAGTATTCATTCAGATATGTACATTATTTAACATTGTTCATTTGTTGTTGATCATTTAATATTCATTTTAAATAGGCCTTTTCTAATATATGTACAGATCAGTGTTATTTGTTATGATTACTTAGGTCATTTTATTTATTTTGGTTATTTTATATACTTTACAGAATAGTTTTCTGCACAATAATACACCACAGAGTTGTGTAAGAAGGTGTGTATGTCGACAGTAGTGTAAAATAAATAAAAAACAAACTGCTTCTTTATGTGATGCCAAAACACTTATTAAATGATGCAGTAAATTGTGATTTCACACACAACGTGACAGCGCATTATATCTCACCATGTAACTTCACTCTGTTATATTATTTGTAGATCTCCATTCAGAAGAATCTGTGAAAATAAACTGTGTATGATTGAAATTTGTTTTTAATAATATTAATTAGGGTTTCAATCATGCCAAACATACAAATAGCCCTCATGTTCCACATGTGGAGGTACAGTATTTTTATATACAGTGGGAGCAATAATTATTCGATCCCTTACTGATTTTGTAGGGTTGCCCACTTACAAACAATGGAACTGTGTATAATTTTAATCATAGGTACATTTTAACATTGAGAGACAGAATATCACAAAAAAATCCAGAATAACAACATCATATAAATTTTATAAATTTATTATCATATTTTTGCATGAAATAAGTATTTGATCCCCTACCAACCAGCAATATTTCTGGCTCCCACAGACCAGTTAGTTTTCCATTAACAAGCACTTATAATCTCAACTCATTACCCAAAACACCTGTGTCAACTCGTTACATC